AGCTACTTTTGTGAAAATATTTTTCAGTCATTTTATAATTAAACACGTTTTAGGTTAATTAAAAAATRTGATAATGAATTCCCTGAATTTCTCCTCCGTGGGACAACAAAGGATGTTTCTAATCTAATCGAGACTGGACGACATAAAAGAAATAAACCGTGATATTTTATATTCCCAAATCGTCCAGCCCTACAAAGGCTTCTGCAGAACTTAAAGGCTTACTGAAGAGCAGGGAAACAACTAAAACATGAATGATGGGGAACCTTGAGGACCAGGATTGAGAACCACTGGCCTATAATCTTGTGCACTGATTCATTTACCTGCACCTGGTTATAACACACAGCTAACACTAACACAAGAAGGCCTGACCATAACCAGCCTAATAAACTTTATAAAAAATAATAAATAATTTTGTTACAGGGTGTGCATATTTGTTTTCTTTTTCTCATTTAGGGACCTGCACCAACCACATGCAGGTAGGAGCAACCTACTGAAGCAAAACATATCCTTCCCATCTGGTCTGGCTCTCTTTCGTTACTGGATGCAGCCTTGCTATTTGCTTCCACAAAATATTTATTTTGGAGTTAAATACATTTTTTTGATTAACACCACTGTTTTGATGTGTGTTTCTCATTGTGTTACTACATGCATTTGCACCAGTAAGTTGTAACAATTATCTTACAAATATCCGCCCAATTATGAAAACATGACTGAAGATTGTGCTGTGTGAGACATACATGAAACTTTTTTTCTGCAATTTGYGCCGCCATCTGTAGAGTCTGGTTGAGCTGAGAGAGCAGATTGCTGAGAAGGGAGGTCTTGTCTCCGACTCCGTTCTCATTAGACRTCTCAAAGTTTTGAGAAGACGTGTGTCCCAATGCAGACAGCGCAGCGAGGAGGCGCAGAGTTAGAGAACGTATCCGCAACCACACAGACTCCTCCTCTAGAGACTGAGTCAGGTGTTCATCATTTAACTGTCTGTGACAGGAAGAGRAAAGACAGGTTGTTTATGTCCTGTTTTGTTATTGCAAACAAAATGATCGTCTATACCTTTCTTTGGGGTCCCAGTTTGTAAACACAGTCAGGTCTCTGTTGTCTCTTAAAGTATCCCAAGGAATGTCATCCTCTTCTGCAGATAAAGACATGGCCTTCACACTCTCCTCTAGACTCAAAACACTGAAAAATAAAAGTACAACATTTAAAACCAAAGAGTAAACAGAATATATGCTCATCACACAACGCTCAAACACTGAACATATTCTTTGTTCTTACATATCTGCTTCCAGGAATAGGTCCAGCAGCATCCTCTCAGTGCGGACCTGGGCAAAATGCAGTGACTGATTCAACCTGTTCCTGAGAGAAATGAACTCCGGGATTTTCTCAAATGCGCCATACTTGTATGCCTGGATGATGTACTCTGAGGTCTACGACAWGGAGAATAAACAGAAACGATGAGACCAAGAGGAACAAGTTKATAAAATCCAGTCWCAGATTGGTACAAAAACTTACGTCTTTCTGGTTAGAGTGGAAAAACCTGAGGGAGAAGTTACAAGACTGGGAGGCTGCAGCAAACTGACCCAGAGGCTCAGCATAGCGCGTTAACAGAAACCTGAAAAATTTAAACATTTAAAACATAAAGGTAACACTCAAGTATGCAAAATCAGTATCTTGATATGCCACACCTGCAAGGTGGGTTAGATTATCTCTGCAAAGGAGAAGTGCCCCCTAACAGATTCACACAAATTTCTGAACAATTTTTGAAAGGACTATTGTGTTCATAGACACCAAAACATGAATTTAGCTTTAAAAAGCCAACTTTAGCTAATGTCAGCTAAAAATTAGCTAAAATTGCTGTATATGAAAATATAGAAGAAAGCAACTGTAAATGTAAGAAGCTGAAATACCTCAAATTAGTAGAAAGCACAAAAAAGTAAAAAATAAATACAAAAATAAATACCAGAAAGCTAGCTAAAATAGCAGACAAAAGCTAAAAATAGCAAACAAGCTAAGATTAGCACAAAAACATTAGGAGAAGCAGAACCAGATCAAAAAGGTGTAAAATGCACTAAAGATTTTGAAGAGTGATTCCATATTTTTTCCCTTCTGCTTGGTCTGAAAAATTAACCGTTACTGACGACCACATTTTTTTCTTGATTTCTTTTACTGTTTCTTAAAGCCAGAAATCTGCCATTTGAAATGACTTTAGTTTTGTGTCATWTCTGTAATCAGACACTTACAAAATTAAACAACTGAATGAACATCCTTCACGGTTTGACTGTCTTTATAAAACTCTGCTTCCTGCTAACAGTCGGCTCTGGGAGCGAGTCATTTTCTTTTTTTAATTTTACCGAGCGGAACCGTCCGAGCGCTTTTAGCACAAACCAGGGTATCTGCAGGTTTTAGCAAGTCAAATTTAAGACTTTTTAAGACCTTTTTAATACTACCTTGAATGAAATTTAAGACCGAAAATATAAGCAATGGTTCRGGGATTCTACTGTATTACAACCAAGCACATGTGTGTCACTCAATAAAAAGCACCGAATATAAAGATATTCAGCTCTCTGGTTAAATTAGCCGTATTTTACAAGTGCAGTTATTTGGTTGGAAATAACTAACATAAAATACATCTACTAAATACATTCATGGCATGAAACTTGTGTTTTAACCTCCAGTTTTGTCTTTATACAAAAATAAATCATCCAGCCATCTGTCAATAAACAACAAGCACTTTAACCTGCAGCATCACTATCCAACAAATATCTGGAGAGAGGTTTTAACAACTTTCTGTAGTTTATTTTTATGTAATATCAGTGTTTTGAATTGAGGGACTCTGATATATTTGAAAAATTATAGCACATTAAGTCCTCTATAAAGAATATATTACTGGGAAGTCCTTTTTAATTTTTTAATTAATTTGTTTATTTTTTGAGTTTCAGATTTCTCCCCTAAAATCAACATTTCATTCAAAGGGAATATTTACAGGACTATAGCTCACGTAATCACACTGATTGATGATTTGACATCCTTCTAGAAGGCAACTTGTTACCTATTATGGTCATAGGTTTTCTATTTCTAGTGACAATCATTGTCATACTATTTATTTATCATATTTGATCATTTATGAATTATATTTATCACAGTTTAGTTAGTAGTATAGTTAAAAAGATAATAAAATTTTAGCACATCCAAATGGACAAAACACCTCATTATTATTAAAACTTTTTGTAGAATTAACTTGTTTTTCACGAGTTTGAGGGAAAATTAAATTTAAACTTAGGCAAACGTCTTTGCTGTGATCTGGAGTCTATAAACATTCATCTTTTAGCATTAATAAATGTTTAATAACTAATGCAGCAGGCAGCAGCTACAACTTCTCTCTCACCATGAGCCACACAGGATGAGCGCGCTCACGCTGTGACGTGCACTCTGTCGGACCCGGAGCTCGGTCAAGTTGCACGTTTCACAGTAACGTAAAATGTTCACGTGTATTTGGCCCGGCGCGCTTTCTATATCGACAACGCTCCAAACACACAAACGTTTAACACAATTCGACTTTAGATACAAAAGGTTGGGGCTCGGTTCTGGATGGGAAGGAGTACTCAGGTAGCTCCTCAGCTCGTGCAAGTTGCATGTCTTTAAAATATCTACGAAGCTCTGAACACAACAACATTTAACCCGGCGTTTAACACAAAGTTAGACCTTAGATAAAAGAAGACCCACGCAGGTCGGGGCTTGGTTCTGGAGGACGGGCTGAAGTAACGGTGTAACAGCTCAGCATCTCCTCGGCTGCAGTGAACTGGTTACACGCCAACACATACGTTTAATGCTTAGACRTTTAATAATTTATTACATAACTTTACATTCATGCGGTGGGTGGTTCTGGTAGTGGGTCGAAAAAAGAAAAAAAAAAGTTATTGGAAAAGTCCGAGGCCGAGCAACTAACTCTGTTTACCTCACCTGCAGTATCCGCTCAGACAGCAGAACCCGCCCTACTCTGCTCTGATTGGCTAAAACTGTGACTCTGGTTCTTTTATAGGCTGAAAGCAGCGTCAGTTAATCCATCACAACACAAGTTTGTTTTTTTTCTTTTCTCAACAGGAAATGCGCTGCAGAGTCGTCAGGAGGAGACCGAGAACTTTAATCGCTTCTGCCCGACAAAACTTAAGACCTTTGAGTAACAAATTTAAGACGTTTTTAGGCCTTAATTTTAGGTATGTAAATTTAAGACTTTTTAAGGACCCGCGGATACCCTGACAAACAAACACGCCCATGAATTTCAGACCAATCACATATTACTGTCGTCGCGGGCGGGGGTAAAAAGTTCTGCCGGTGGGTTGTGCCAAAAGGGGCCGCCGAGCCGACGTTGCGAACACCGGTGATGTAATTTTCGTCACGAAACTGTGACAGCCCGTGCCGACATCGGCCGTTTGGAGGGAGTATGAAGAGGACTTAAACGTTGGAAAGAGACAACGTGGGCTGTGGCTGTTAAAATGAAGAAGTTAAGTTTGAGTGATGATTTGAGTATAATTTCAGAACACATGCAAGTGCAATTGTCATTAACTGTCAAATTAAATCATGATTCTATTTTAAAATGTTTTGCTATTATCACCCAGCTCTAGCAAACACGGGATCTTATGTCACTTTACTCAACACTGACATTTTGACTCTTTAGACCATCTTGTCTGAATGAAAATATTTACCTTCTTTAAGGTCTGATAGATTCTATGCTCAGGGTTTTATTTAAAGTGGGATTACGGATGCCTCAAGATTCATTATTTGTTTAACTTATACAATGCAGACCTGACCCTAAACTGTGATAAAATCAAATTGTGAGGTGCCTAGAGATTCCCAACCCTTCTGTGTAGCAGTAGCTTCTCTCTCAGAAAAAATATACTGTTTAGGAGCAGAATGGCAGGAAGTGTATAAAAACTAAGGCAGCATATGAATTGGATCRCCAATTACAAGCAGCCACAAATAAAAGATATAAGTCCACAATCTCACTTTTTGGGGCCCTAAKAATTTGTTAAATATTTGCCACATACCACTTCAGGACAAAATTATRTCATCTCAAAATGATCCAAAGAGAAATGAATTTCACTTACACGGAGAAAAAGAGACTGAAAATGTTTAACAAATACGAGCACAGACAGAAATCAGAACTGACCCAATGGTGTCATGCTGTATGTGCTTGGCATCCAGGCTGGAGTAAAGATCCACAATGGGCTCAAAGGCTCCCAGGTGACAGTAGAGAAGCAGCAGTAGCAGCTTGAACTGGGCATTGGAAGGACTATTAAACAAACCTTCTTGCAGGAGCCCTAAACAGTGCCACACCATGCCTTCATCACCTAGACACACACACAAACAGACATTTACGGACATTCAGTGTCGGGGGAAAAAACAAATAAACAAACAAAATAATAATAATAACACACACCTGTTTCTGTCCATAGRTCAATGTATACATGAGCTGCCATGAGACAATACATATCAGAGAACTGCAACTCTGTCTTCAGTGCATTGTTTCCTGAAGAACAAATATCAAAAAGTCAAAGGAAATTGAAGCAAGACAGAGTCTTTCACAAAACATTAATATCACTCACAGATAACATGAGAACAAAAAAACAAAATCAGGTAAAGTTGATTTCCCAACAGACATGCAAAGTGGCAGTTAATAAGAATTTCCTTAAAAATGCTACGTCTTGATTTATGTTAGTGAAGACTTAAATTAGCTTATGTGTTGTGTTGACTGCTGCTGAAAAACTAACCTCAAAAGGTTTAGGTGTAGGCCCTTAACTAATTTATAGACATATTTTACATTTTGCCACTCTGATTTTTGTAGTGGGCAGAGTTTGTAGAGCTGTTGCACAACTGCATCCTGGTCTTGGACCATGTTGGGTGGAGTTTGCATGCTCTCTCTATGCATGCATGGTGTTTCTCCAGGTACTTCGGTTTCCTCCCACAGACCAAAAACATGCACGTTAAGTGAATTGGTAACTAAAAATGTCCCTAGGTGAGAGTGTGAAAGGGTGGTTTTCATTTGTCTCTATGTAGGCTTTGTGACAAACTTGTGAGCTGTCAAGTGTGTATCCTGTCGCTCAGTGACTTCTGAACCTAGGCACCGGCAATCCCCGCAACACGCAAAACCGAAGCGAATAAAGGAAATGAATGGATGACTTTTGTAGCTATCTTATGCTATGAAGTAGAATAATAAACATAATAAAAAGTAATAGTAAACTCTCACCAAATTTCAGCCCATGATGGTAGTGAGCTTTGAGCTCTGTGATAAGGCGCAGTTTCCCACTGATGTCAAGAGAGTGATGCAGCCCAAGTGCTCGACTCAGCTGACAAACACACAAATGTCTCTGCAGGGATTTTGTGTCCTGTGGGAAGGTGTGTACCTCCTCCCCCAGTGGAAGTCCTTCACTCAGGCGATTTATGAACTGAGGAAGTAACAACAAAGACATGAACGCTTTTTCAATCTTTTTACAGAAGATACACTGCCAGGCCAAAAAAATAAATAAAAAAGTTGCCACCTGGATTTAACTAAGGTCTATGATGTGGGGTTGCAACGGTTTGTCAGGTTTCAGTAACAGTATGTGCTCAAAGAATGAGGTCAGCTGACTACCTGCATATACTGGATAACTAGGTTATTCCATTAATTAATTTTTTTCTTCCGACGGGATGGGCATATTCCAAGCTGACCAGGATTATGTCAGGATTCATTGGTCTTGAATTGTGAATTAGTGGTTCGGGGAGCATGAGACATAATTTTCACCCATGAAATGGCCACCAGAGTCCATTTTTTTATTTTATTTTACCATTGTTTAACCAAGCAAATCCCATYGAGTTCGATGATCTCTTTAAGGGCAGCTTGGGCCTGAAGGCAACCTATTGCACATATTTTTGAGAATTGAGAATCTTTGGGATGTGGAGAAGGCTTTGCTCAGCGGTCAGACTCAACCATCATCAATAGGGGTGTCCCGATACCAGTTTTTTCAAGACTGAGTACAAATACGAGTACTTGAGTTTGGGTACTCGCCGATAC